TTTAATAAAAGTCTGGTACTGAAGTGGATCTCCATCAAAAACTGGGATCTCCTTTTTAGGTAATGAAGAAAGACTATGTTGTTGGATTAATAAAGCAGTGAGTTCGTTTTGCTTACTCATGACAGATAAGATATTACAGTCTTCTTCATGACCAGAGATGTGAGAAGGTACATGTTTATTTTCACGTGAATTTCTAATGTCTGACTGATATGTCAAGGGATCTTCAGAAAGAGTCTGAGGTTGTATTGGAACTCTGCCTGTGGTTAAGAGAGATTGTGAGTCTATAACATTATGCTCCCTAAAGATATGCACATGTTGCCTTTCATGTACAGGGTTATCAGGACTAGTAATCAGCACTTGAGTTACTTTTTGTCCCTTTTCAAAATATGACTCCATACCATCTGATATTTTTGATAGTGTACTTTTAATACTGGATCCTTTTGAGCCTTTCAGTACTTTCATTTTTGCAACCGTGGCAGCTATATTTGTTTCCAGCTCCAGTTGCTCCCGCTGTCTCCTTAACTGTGCTTCATGTTCCTCCAAGGCATGTTTATCCTTAAGCAGTTTTTGCCTTACCATCAGAGCAGCTGCTTCAGCTTCAGCCATTATTCGTGCTGATGTTGTACTTGATGCTCTTGAGTTTGAGCTTGAAGAACTGACTTTACTCTTTTTGCTTCCTACGTTTGAAAAACTGTCACCTGGCTGTATTTCATCTTGTATGTCAGAATTTGTTTTAACCTGCTTTGGAGATGTTAAGATGTTATGTTTATCATTTGTGGAAGAAACCATCTCCTTTGATAAAACAGTCTCAGCAGAAACGGCCACATCCAAAGTAACAGCAGTAGGCACTTTCTCAGCTTCATTGTCTTTTTCCATAAAAGGTCTTCCAGCTTCAAGAAGCCACTGTTTCACATCTTCAACAAAATCATCATCATTACATTTTGTTATGCGTCCAAACCAGTCAATATGAGCATCTTGTTCATCTTTAGGAATCAATAAAATGAATGCATCATGAACTGCTTTGGCATTTTTATACAAATTATTCAGTTTTTCCAAGTTAAGCAGCACAGCTTTTGCATTGTCATCCTTGTTCATCAATTCTTTAATATCACGAGTTAACCCTTTAATCTTGTTAACATGAGCTTTTCGCTCTTTCTGCAAAGTGTCCATTTTAAAAGCAAGCGCTTTAGCCGTCAGTTTTGCAGATCTTTTTTCTTCCAGTTCATGTTCGGCTTCTTTTATTTGACTCATCGTCACTTTTTCACATGCATCAAAACAACATTATATTCCACAGCTTCAAAGATAGACCACAGCCAATACTTTTCTTCCGTGTAAACCATTGCGCAGCAGCGTCACAGGCTGTCAAAACCAGAGCAGCATCCTCCAGCTTGCCAAATCAAGCACACGCACGCACACAAGCAGATCAAACCAATGTCCCCAATGGACAAGCGATGACACTTACAAACTGTGTTCAAAACATCCAATAATACACAGAGTGAATCCGCGTGTCCTACCGCTTCTGAAGTGTCTGTTGCGCTGCGTTCCACCATGCCAGTGTGACGGTGCCGTTTCCAATTACTCATTTGAGAACAGCGTCCACTCATCTGAAAGCTCCGTGACTCCAAAACGTATGTCCAAAAATCCTCTTCATTGTTTTGATGCGTGCAATAAAAGACAAGAGTTTTTCTGTTGACTAAATGTTGCGACTTTCATCCGTAAATAAAGCCGCGGCCGGCTGAGTTGGTTGTGTCCCTGTGACGCGCCTCCAATAATCCATAATGAGTCGAACATGTACTTTGCGCATTTATTTTAAGAACAAAACAAAAACAAACATTTGCGCTTTCAATCAATTTACAACTAGCGCATGGATTAACTGGTGTGCCAAGAAATGACGGTCAACAGAAAAGTTTGCCCACAAACCACTCACCCAACACACCTGCTGCGTACACCGACATCAGGTAAATAGACTGTGACCACACCCACATACCATCACCTGAGACGCAGGTAAAGCTATACACCTGTGCCACCAAAACAAACAGGAAAAACATAAACATTGACTTTGGCTCTTACAGAATCCAAAACACCTGCTGCCTCTAGTTTGAGCCTTTTGTATGATGATTAATCTGAGAGAACGAATCTCAAATCTCATAACAGTTGAAAGTTTATATACATGTATATCTGGCATGCACCTGGGCCTGCTCACTCACCCTTGTTAGATGCTGGAACCACCTCAACTGGCTCCTTTTAATGTAGAGGAGTAGCGGCTCTATTCTGCCCCTCCCTCCCAGAGCTCCTCAGCCCATCTCTGAGGCAGAGGCCAGCCACCCTTTGGAGGACGCTCATTTCTGCCACTTATATTAGCGATCTCTTTCTTTCGCTCAGTACTCAGAGCTCGTGATCATAGGTGAGGGTAGGGACATCGATTATTATTAATATTAATCATTTGGGGCAGCACAGTGGCGCCGTGATTAGTACTGTTGCTTCACAGCAAGAAGGTCCCGAGTTCCATCCCACCACCCGACTGGGGCCTTTCCGTGTGGAGTGGTTCTCCCCGTGTTTGTGCTCCAGCTTCCTCCCACAAGTCCCAAGACATGCAGTCAGTGGGGTTAGGGTAACTGGAGAATGTGAGTGTGAATGGTTGTCGGTCTATTTGTGTCGGGTTGGCGACCTGTCCAGGGTGTACCCTGCCTCTCGCCCCACGGTGGCTGGGATTGGCTTCAAGATGAGTAAAGAAAATTCCAAATATCAAAAGCAACAGTTTAAGTGTGTTTATGGTGACTTCATGTTGTACATTCATAAACCGACAACAGCAATACATATTAACAAAATATCAGTTGTTTGGACTAAAGTTATCAGAGGACTTTTGTGCATGATTTCAGAAGAAAAGTTGAGCAGGACCTTGCACTATTGGAACTTTGGTTTTTTTTTATGGCTCCATGTTCTGCAAATTTTCAGCAACAAATTATTTGCTTCATAATCTGCTGAATAAATGACATCCTGTATCCTAGAAGAGGAAAACTCTTCCTAGCCAGCACATCTGTTGGATAAGAAAGGACAATAACTCTAGTTTTACCAGACGTTGGATAATTCTTTCTATATTTTCTCATGTACTTTGCTTCTTTCTTGTGTTATTTCAGGGCTGAGGCAAGTCTCCTTTTGTGCAATGGAAGTGAAGGGATGCCGCCAGCGCTGGAAATTAAATTGCAGAGAGCTACAGAGCAAGAGATGCTCAACTCCAGAAGTCACTGAAAGAGTCAAGATAGAAGAGGGGGACAAAGAAGAGCCATACAAAGGTGTTACCATGGCAGCAACCTCCAAGTATCTGACAGGCAGGCAATATCTCACTAGGAAGCCTCTGTTTTCTGTAGAAGAGCATGTGTCCATCTTAAAGAAGACACGTCCACAGAGGCTCATGGAAAAGGTAAGGAACATGGAGAAAGAAGACCTCCAAGTAAAATCTTTGTCCTTTTAGATGGAACAATACAGCAGACGCAGAACGACTTGGCTTTTGTCAAAGGTCCCATATCATGAAAACGCATTTATATAGTGTTATAAGAGTTTTATAAACTGTGAGGTGTAAAATATGTGGTGTCTCTTGCTTCTAGACCTTGTAACATCTCCGCCTCCCACACTTCAAAGTCAGTAAAAAATGTTCTGTGAAAAACATAACTAATCCGTTGGCATGCAGCTAAGATGAAGCTGCTGCCACACAGTGGCAAGGAACCGAAGCACATGTGCTGGTTAATCCCAACATGCTCTGCTGAAACAAATGAATCTGCGCATTGCATCAGTGCAATGACTGCGATTGGCTTGTTCAGTATCGTCGCTTCCTATTATGGATTTCTGCTTTATTTTTCAGCTGCTATCCCTTAAATCAGCTGGAATGTCTAACCTCAAAGAGACTAACCGTCAGCTCGTGTTTGGGTGTCAGAACTCCAAAGCACGAAGGCTAGGCCACAGGCTCTACATGGGTCCAGCACAACAAAAGTATAACTTAGGTGTACTTGCAGTATAATCGTCTCCCACCCTTACAGAACTGAAAGCCCAGTGAATTACTCTCTGAACTCTGTAGCTCCCTAGCAGGGCTAATTAGCTAGTCAGCTTTGAGTTAACGTTAGCTCTATATACCCACAGGCAGAGCTTTGGGGACAAGCATGATGTGGATTTATAACCAGTAGAGAAGCTGATCCTGTGTGTCTGTGTCATCAGCAGCTACTCCAGTTTCCTTTAAAGCTATAGACAGTAAATCATTGGGTTAGAAATTAAGCTCCAGGCAGTTGTATAAATGTATGATACAAAATGATCTTTGTGGTATTTTGTTGTTTAACTTGAAATGTAGGGGTGGCACGGTGGTTAGCACTGTTGCTGCACAGCAAGAAGGTCCTGAGTTCAATTCCACCATCAGGCCGGGGTCTTTCTGTGTGGAGTTTGCATGTTCTCCCCGTGTTTGCGTGGGTTCTCTCCGGGTACTCCGGCTTCCTCCCACCGTCCAAAGACATGCAGCTTGTGGGGATAGGTTAATTGGATAATCCAAATTGCCACTAGGTGTGAATGGTTGTCTGTCCCTGTGTGTTGGCCCTGCGACAGACTGGCGACCTGTCCAGGGTGGACCCCGCCTCTCGCCCTATGACAGCTGGGATAGGCTCCAGCGCCCCCCGCGACCCTGAAAAGGATAAGTGGAAGCGAATGGATGGATGGATGGCACTTGAAATGTAAATGTACAGTATTTCAGGGCTTTAACCTCCTCATTTATCCATAAATGACTGCTCACTGAATAATGTATGCCATCCTTGTCACTTTCTATTATTCTCTTCATCACGTTGTAGCTTAAACGTCTAAGCTGATGTAAACGACTAAATGCCAGAAGCTTTTACTCTGATGCAACAATAAGGTTTATAATGCTACAGTATTTTTCTTGCAGGAGAAACAACAGGACAGAAGTGAACATCATAATATTAAATTCTTGCCCAAACCAAGAGAGGAGCTCATCCCACAGAGACTTAGCCCGTCTCCCATTGAAATATCACTTCCCTCTACCTCTGAAGAAGACCTGGGCTCACCCTTGGGTGTTTCAGAGCTGCACCATGAGGACTCCGCTACATTTGGAACATCTTTCCCTGGAAACAGATTGGCTCAGCAGAGCCTCTCAAGGTCTAACTTTAAAGTCTGTGGACTTGACCTTCCCCCGAAGCCCAGACTGACCTCCACGGTCCTTTATCCTACGTACAGCCCCTGTTCAAACAAACGAAGCCAAGCTCAGCGTGTGATAGAGAGCCGGAGGGAGAGAAGTTGGAGAGAAAGAAAACGGTGTTCTTTTGGAGTAAACTCCAAAGAGATTCCCAAGTCTCCCTATCAGGCAGACTACTGGGCCTGTGCCATCCCTGAAACTCTGCCCCCATCTCCAAACAGGCACTGCACAGCATGGGACCCAAACAAGGAGTACCAGGAACTGCTGGATTACACCTACCCACTAAGACCAAGACAGGTAGACAGTGAATGGGACAGCTCCAAGAGCCTTCAGGATGACAGCCTTCAGACAAACCTCAACCTGCAGGACTCAGGAATTGCAATGGGCCACCTATGTAGTTCCACCAGCCTGCCAGGGTTGGACATTTCAACCGGTGCAAGAGGACAGAGCAGTGAAAGAATCGCTCTCAGCTCGAATTATATGTCACCTGACCTGCAGTTTATCACTAGATCTTCAGGTGAACCACTATCCCTGCTCTCTTTGTCCTCGGACTGTCTGGACTGCAGTGAGGATGGAGGGGAAAGAAATCCTTTTGTTAATGATAGTCTCAATGATCAGCACCATATGCGATCCACATCTACCTTTTCTGCTTTCATACGCTCTGAAAGTGTACTTCGACAGTCCAGGTGTGTGCACGGGGACCTGGATGAGGAATTCCGGCCTCTTCCAGACCAGGTGGAGGAGCTGCAGCTCCTGTCCAGACAGGTCAGTACTATATGTACGCTGACTTTACCACTCTGGTGATTGTGCAAGCAGAACCATTTACATCAGCGGTCTCCAACCTTTTTTGCGCCACGGACCGGTTCATGCCCGACAATATTTTCACGGACCGGCCTTTAAGGTGTCGCGGATAAACACAACAAAATAAAACCAGTACCGGTACCGAAAAAAACAAGATTTATTCATAACACACGTGAAAAGCCCCAGGAAAACAGAGTTAACGATAAAAACGATGACAAAATAACGCTGAAAAACGATTAAAACCCTGAAAACCAGACGTTTCACACCTGAGCCTCAACTCTCACGGACCGGTACCGGTCCATGGCCCGGGGGTTGGGGACCGCTGCTTTACATCATTGTAATCATGTTCACAACGTTGTATTTTTACTGTGCATTCCTTTAGCAATTCTTGCTAAAGTAGCAAAACGCATCACATCATCACTGTGGTCCCTGTGTGCAGGTGAGGGAGATGACAGCTCAGCTGAGCTGGCCTGTCACAGCTAACTGGGACTCTCTGGAAACATGCACCACCTCCTGGCCCTCTTCTATCAGCTTGTCAGGAAAACAAGAGGAAAGGACTAAAGTCAAGGAGCTCCAGGAGGACAAACAAGACAGAAATGACTTTAAAAAGTGGAGCACAGAGCACAAAAATGCTCCTCCAACAGGTATTTGTAATAAATATTTGTAAGGATGTTTAGATTGTAGCCCTGTACACAGTTAAAGAATCAAATCACCTTCACTGCAATGGATATATTTCCATCTCTTTATCCAAAAGAGTTCGGATTAATTGTCAGGGTTTGCAGGTGTGTGATTTTGAGATTTCTGATCTTAAGGAAAATACAAACAAAAACTATTCTCTCTCCGTCAGCAGCGGTTTACGTAGGGCATGCTGACGGTGGCTTGGGTCGCCCTAGTCTCAAGAAGGCTGAGACTCTGGTGGACCGGCTGTGTGGGCTCAGCCTGATTGATAATCCAAAGGAGAGCTTGGAGGGCCAGGAGCACAGTGACTCTCTGATGCAACACATCAAGGTAGGGACGCAGTTGGATCTGTGACTGATTTTTCAGACTGAAAGTCATCAACAGATTAAACTCCTGCTATGGCAGATGTCACTAATGAAGCCAGTGTAGGGTTTTGTATGGAGTGGCTATCACTGCTTAGTTCAGGAAGAGAAGTAGCAGTATTATGGCGCTTTAAGAGGTTTACATGACACCACTGATTATTCCTCTTCTCTGGTGTTTGCATCAAGTAGTCCCTGTCTAATAAAGTGCTTTTAATAGTGAAAGGTCCACTAAGCCTTGACTGGAAAGGTGAACCTATCACAGGCATCAGTGCCAAAACCCAAAGCCCCAGGGTCAACAGTCTGGTCTTCAGCCTTCTTATTAAAAAGCTGTGTCATTTTATCCTCTAAGCTTCACTTTAACTGCAGCACAAGCAAACTCAAAGTCATTCATATGCGTCAACACATCATAGTGGCTCGAGCAAAAGGACCAGGGCCACCAAACAATAACAAGGCTGAAGCCGTTACTGTGTTTAAAACACACACACAAAAACTAAACAGAAAATTAAAAAAGTTCAGATGTTTTTCTTACATTTGCGACACATTTACCGTCACAGTGTCCTCATGTTGCTCCCCTGCCACTCAGAGTGCATCATGAATCGTTCAGCAGAGAGCAGCTGGTTCTCCTGTTTCTGTTGTATCCATCGTCAGGCAGTTAGTTATGATAACTTAGCTTTATAATAGGTGAACAAATATCAGCTGAACTGCTGATATCCTTAGAACTCAACAGTATTAAGTTATAATGTTTGCTCTTTTGTTTGAAGTTTTTATAACCTTGACTTAAAGTTCTAGTAATTCAGTCTGTTTTTATGTTTAAGTTATGTCTCCTAGCTCTCCTCCACTCTTTAAGTCCCTCACTAGTCTCTTTGCAGCTGTTCTGGGTAGGGATGGGTATCGAAACCCGGTTCTTGTTGAGAACCGGTTCCCACTGTTTCAGTTCCTTGGAAGTGTTTGCCGTTTTTGCAAACGATTCCCTTATCGATTCCAGTCGCCCCGAATGACGTCACCACGTTGCGGAGCGTCATTTACCTGGCAGGAAACACGGCGGCTCAAACGCTCAAAAGCTTGGTTACACTTTACGAGGACGGATGACAACAGGACAACTTGCAAAGTAGATATTTCATTTAAGGGAGGAAACACTGCGAATATGCAAAAGCATTTGCTCACAAAACACGCGATGACCTTAAATGAATGTCGTGTTTTTAATTCGGTGAATCTCAGCCCAGCAGCAGCCGTAACGTTTGCACGTCCTCTCCTGTTAATGCGGCAGGTAAATAATCAACTAACAGTGCATATTATGTTAGTGCGATCCGCCTTATTACAAACCTGCCATTACTGTGCATTTAGTGACCATGATGAGACAGAGTCTGGCTCAGATGCTGGCAGCTCTCCCTGCAGTCTGCCGGCAGCGTCTCCTTTCAGGCAGGATAGACGAACGTCACCGAGCAGAGACTCAGTTTCAAAGGTTTGCACCCGTTTGCCACAGCAGGTGATTTTCAGTAAGTGAATGTGTTTAATTGTAGGCAGGGACATTACTGGATATTCTTGTGTAATTGCTACAGAATAATTTATGTTATACTTTGTTATTGCTACAGAAGAATATTTATTTTATTATTTTACATTTACAATGTTTTTTTCCTGGGGACCCTGTGACACCCACTGAAGAGCCGCAGGCTGGATCTCTTAAGATCTCACTGTTGGGTTTGTAAGGCCATGTTACTCCTAAATGTCTGTCTTGTTCAAAGAGAAGATATAAAACAAAGTTCTAAGCTAATCGACCTTAGTGTTCTCCTTTTTTAAAAAGAATCGATAAAGAATCGAATCGTTAAACAGAATCGAAAATGGAATCGGAATCATGAAAATCTTATCGATACCCATCCTTAGTTCTGGGGTCTTTGGACATCTCTCACTGGTTTTCTTTCCAGAATCTTTTAAATCTTTCACTTCCTTCCTCTGCCAGGCTTGTTCTGTACTGTGTGACTTTGTTTGAATTTCTCAATGATATGTATCTGTGTATTCCAATATTTCAACCATTATATGATTAAAAGCACCATGAATAATATGTACTGTAGGGCTGCCACAAACGATTATTTTTGATAGTCGACTAGTCACAGATTATTTTTGCGATTAGTCGACTAATCAGATCATCATCCATTGGACGTAAAACGTACAGCTTATTGCACCAGCAGCATCTCTCTGTACAGGGAGTGCAGAATTATTAGGCAAGTTGTACTGTATGTTCCAGGTCTTCTGTTCTCACCTGGAGCTGCTCATCCAGCAGCTGAATGCCATGTCAGAGAAGATGGAGCTGCTGACTGAACCCACTGTGGACGTGGATCGTGGGAAGTCATCTCTGGCTGACTACCAGGTGAAGGCTGAGCCTCTCGAGTTGTTACACTGGCAGCAAACACACAGTCCTGCCCTGAAAAACGTTACCGTGTCTGTTTCACACAGGCTAAAGCAGCACTACTGAAAGTTTTATCAGTGTGCCTGTTAATTGTTAATTGATTTGTAATACAGAGAGATCCTTTGTTTGATGAATTAAGCAGTTCAGTGGCGATAGCAAGTTTGTTTAAATGACACATTTCATCACATTCAAAATCCACGTTCCCAACAGCAAACATACAAACCTATATATGTTTACAATGAAGACAAGAAAAGGTGTAAGTTTACAAATGTGCACACACACAGACAGCTACTGTGAGAACACAATGGTTTGAGTCTGTTTTTGAAATGCACACCTCAGCTCAGCAGGAAGCTTGTGCCAAACAGGACTACAGTAACTGAAAGCACCTGCAGCACACTTAGATCATCATGGGAAGACTTAAAACATCTGCACCTGATGACCTGACAGCTCACACTGGGTTATAGACACTGAAGCCGGTAGCTTGCTGGGGGGAGCATTGAGAGCTTTCTGAACTAATCGAAGGTTTTAGGTAAAAAAAAAAAGGAGTGGCTACACAGGTTCATAGACGCCCCCCTGGAAATAACTTGTATGAACAATTTGAATCTGGCTTCATTCATTTCATAGTACAGAAACACCTCAAATGATCTTTTCACTGTCTACACCAGTTAACTCTGGTGTTCCCCAAGGCTCTCTCCTGGGGCCTTTGGTTTTTATTATTTCTCCTACCTCTAGGTAATATTTTCAAGAAATATAACATCCAGTTTCACTGCTGCACAGATGATGCCCAGCTCTACTTCTCTTCCAAACCCACATCTATTTCTGATTAAGTGAAATCAAGGTTTGATTTACTCATAACTAAAGTTCTGACAGTTTTTTCACCATCATTGATAACTCAGGTTAAGAGTCTGGGTGTCATCCTTCACAGCCCATATAAATCACATCATTCAGTCTTCTTATTTTCATTTTAGTAATACTAACCGCCTTCATCCTTCACTTACTCCAAACAGCACTGCCATACCTGTCAATGCTCTCGTCACATCTCGTTTAGATTACTGTAATTCTTCTCCATGGTCTAACACAAATCTCTCCATAAACTGCAGTTAGCTCAAAATTCAGCTGCTCTTTTTCTCGCTGACATCTGGACTGCTCCAAATGCATGTTAGTTTAGATTTTTAGATTTAGATTTTGTTTTTTAAATTCCCACCAGGCTGTCAGAAAGGTGTTTATGTTAAGGCTTGTAAAGCAGTTATTATGATTAATAATGGAGCTTATGGAAGGCAGGTTAGAGATTTTTAATTTTCCACAGAATGGTGCACTAGGTCTAGCTGTGGGCTGTCACGCCAGCTGTGGGCTGTCACGCCAGCTGTGGGCTGTCACGCCAGCTGTGGGCTGTCACGCCAGCTCCATTGATCCATTTTAAAACAGAGAAATCTGTTGGATAAGAAATGAGGTAGTTCATGCTTAGATTTAGTTGAATAAATGAATCCTGTCAGCACCACCCAGATATCTGTAGGTCATAGTTTATATCTAAGGTTAAGTCTAATGTGAACTTTGAACAGTAAAAACTGAGAACCTTCACAGACATAAAAACTGCATCGTTCATCACTTCATGCGTTTTCTGGTCCACTCACTCGGCTCTTTTGTTGTCAGAGCTTTCAGAGAGAACTTAGCAGCCATCAGCCGCTGGCCTCCTGCGTTCTGAATACGGGACAGCTACTCCTCAGCTGCATCAACAGCACCTCTCCATGTCAGTCTGTTACAGCATGCTCACTAAGAAATACGGAAACTAAATACTTGTTTTCTCACTGAGTCTGACCGTTCTTCCTCTCTTCTCTTTTACAGTTTTAAGAGACACCCTGCTCCTGATTGAGAGTCAGTCAGAAATGCTGCAGGCCCACAATGAACACTTCTTCTCCTCCATCCTGTCTGCTATAGACAGCCTAGGTCAGCCCAATCAAGCCAGTCCTGTCCAGCAGAGCACAAAGTGTCCTGTAATGGTCCAAGAGTCAACTTAACAGACCCAACGACAGCTGACCAGACCTCATGGCACGTCTGCATCACAAATATAAATATTTGGTGTTATTTCTGTCTAAGAACTCTGCTTTTGATACAAGGCTCTCATTTACTATTCACAAAAAACACCAGTTCATTTTTCACATAAGCCTTCAGGACCAGCACCGAGCCACCAAAACACAAAATTGTTCTTTTCTTAGTCTTAATATCGCACTGTTTTTCTGCCTATACTCAATATCACATTTGTCTTTTCCAAGACATTCACAGAAGTCAAATTAAAAGTCTGTTAACCATTTCTTTTCAAAAAGGATCTCTGTAATCTGATTTCCAGACACCAAAGTAAGTCAAACACTACATTAGTGCAGCGACTAGATAAACTATTGTGAGGCAAACGGAGACACATAGTGTGCAGCACATATATCATGGCCCACAATGAACACAGAAGCTTTTTACTCCAAAAGATAATGTTTCAATTACTCCAGGGCAGGAACATAAAACAGGACAAATTAAAACATGAGCCCTTGACTCCTATCATGATGGTTAATCATGAACTGTGCAGCTGCAATGCACAGACAAACGTCTGTTTTCAGCACTGATAAAATACGAGTTTCACTCACCAGAAGCACAAAGTGCCTGGATGGTCTGTACCACACAGCAAGTGAGGTTTTTGGTCACGCCGTTCCATGAAAATACAAAAGGTGGAGAAGTCCTAAGTGTTCTTAACTTTATGGACAACTTTTTTCAAATAGATGAATTATTTTTAAAAGGCCCTAATTATTTGTGTAGTAGGCTGTAAACACTCATTTTCACATGTGAGTCTAAGCACTTTTTAATTGGACCGTGTGTGTAAATGAACACATCATCGAAGCACTTTCTAGCTAACGTCCACAGTTCAGCAGACCAAAGCTGTCAGGGATCAAACCACCAGACTTCCAGTTAGTAGATGACCGTCTCCGCTTCCTGAGCCACTCCTACCAATTGTTCTGTGACAGCTGCCATTTGCTGCAGTCACATGATCAATCATGGACACACGTCCTCTGGTGCCTGAAACAGAGATGTTGACAGGGAATCCTTTGGATCCTATCGGTTGTATTGTCATCTGTAAAGTTTGTAGGCTGAATTACAGTTTTGCTCAATGCTCAATTCTCACGGCAGAAAAGAAATGGGACGTATTTTATAAAAGGCGCTCCAACAATCCAAAGGTTTTTCACATATGTCAGAGCATGAATAGTCAATCACTTCAACTCTGTGATGAATGAATAAAAAGCTTTCAGCACCCTTTAAAGACTAAGTCATCAAAATGTTTCTTTCTTTTCTCAAACCCAGAAAGAGTTCTGCATAAATGTGGGATTAATGTAGTTTTTCAGAAACAAATGAAACGTGAAGGATGTTTCTGAAACTTTACAAAACTGGTGGGATGGGAAAAAAAGCAAACTAATGTAATCACTTTACTAAATACGACTGATCCACTGCTCATCGCAGTAATCAAAATATCTAATCAGCCTTTCACATCATTGCATTTAGGCATGTGGACATAGTCGTGACCGCCAAACCAAGCATCAGAATAAGGAAGAAAGATGACTGAGCGTGGTTGTTGATGTCGGACGGGCTGGTTTGAGCATTTCAGACATTGTTGATGTTCTGGGACTTTCCCACACAACCATCACAGGGTTTACAGGGAATGGTCTGAAATGGGAAACTATCCAGTGAGCAGCAGTTCTGAGTTATAACAGAATGCTCAGACTGCTTTGATCTGAAATGAAAGTAACAGTATCTTAAACACTCATTACAAACAAGCAGTGTTGAGTAAGTTACTTTAAATTAGTAACTTAGTTACATTACTAGTTACTTCTATCAAAAGTAACTCAGTTACTTCAAGTTACTCGTTACTTTCAAAGTAACTAGTTACTAGGGAAAGTAACTTTGGTTTTACTCAGAATTCTCTTGTTAATCTGTTGCTTCCGTAACTGGATACCCAGCAAGACTGTAAGTCTTCTAGCTTGCTTACATGTTAGCTCTATCCTGCCACAGTGCACTGTGCCACCTACCAATAGAAAGGAAAAGATAATGTGCACATTTCCACGAGAGAAATCCCACGCCTGGACCGTCATTGACTGCTGCCATGATTCTAGCCTACGTCACAGCGTCATGTGCGCCTTTTACATCCAACACAAAAACTGCAGTCGTGGTGCTTTCGATTGTACTCAGAACTCGGAAATTCTGCCTTCTGAATAGGAAGATGTAGGTAACACCAGACTGCAGATGAGCTGCATACAGGGCTGGACTGGGACAGAAAATTGGCCCGGGCATTTTGACTAGAGACCGGCCGCCATAATAGGAAAAATCATAAAGCCTTTGAATGAAAACAAACACTGTTGTGACAGTGATGTTCACTGTTCTGATGGTATACATGCATCAATCTATCAATCGTTTGTTGTAAGATTCAGATAATTATTTTTTAAAAGTGAGACATTTTAAATGAGAATAAGAAAGAAAAGTATTTCTTTGTGCCCCCCTCTCCCTGTTAATGCCCTACCTGCCCCCCTGGCAACACTTTGCTAGACCCGCCCCTGCACAGTTACCAGCTGTCAGCTACTTAGAAAAGGATCCTGGGGTTATTTGTCTCTCAGAAACAGTTCATAACTTCAACTCATCCATGTCACCTAAAAGGTAAACCTGTTTCTCCATCACCTGTTCAGCTCTGATGATTCAGTAAGGACATCTCCTGGTTTCATCTTCATGTTTCCCTCTCACCAGATAACCAAACCATATCATGACCAGCAGCTTTACAGCTGTGGCTCCAGCAAACATCAGCTGATACTAGAAATTAATATTAAATAAATTCTAACAACAGCTGATCAAGCTTAAACGTGCTGCTGTTGTTTAGCGCCACATCCGCTGGTTTCCTCTTTCTGGCACAAAGTGGGCGATAAACAAACAAGAGAGCCGATCAGCTGATCATTGATCAGTTTCATGATTGAAGTAGAAACGGGAGAGGGAGGGGGGAGAATGAAAGGAGAAGAGGCAGCGTAAACACAGAATAACTCCAGCTTTGTGTCTTTGTCCATTGTAGCTGAAGTCGGGACAAACTGTTCGTTCTCAGCTCAATACGAAACGCGAAATATTTTCTCTGAATACCAGACGATTCTTTTTTTTAGGGGATGGTTTGCATCATAATAATTAACCTTATGAACAAAATAAAGTTCAACATCAGTATCATAGCACCACCCAGCTGTATAAAAACTCCGTCATGCTAGCTAGCACGCAGTACGAAAAAGTCAGCATAACGAAAATAAACTCCACCTAAACTTGGTTCATATCTGACCCAGATGGACTGCAGGTCATAACTTCTTACCTGAAGTTCAGTTCACCTGACACCTGACAAATTGGAAATTTGGATGAACAGCTTTGACACAAAAATGAAAGTTTGTGTTTCTATTTGTTGCAATAAACTGCTGAAAGTGTGTTACTGTGTTTGTTCTTTCAAACATATTTGAAAAAGGTTTGAAGTCATGATTGAAAACGTGAATACAATGCTGTTAAGTATTCAGGAACCTCAGTGACCCAGAGTTATGATTCACAAAAGTGCAAACTGCTCTGATGAGTTGTCAGATTCAAGTGAGAAGTGCACAGTAAACGTGTGAGTAAAATAATAAAAGTGTGATTTGAGAACTGCATTAATTGTAATGCTGTGAGAATTGCACAAAAGCTGTAATGCAGTCAGTAACTCAGATAAACAATATTAAAGCAGAACACCAGGAAATAAAAGCCAAAAACAAAGAAAAAAATTAACCAATGTGCATGTTCACTGAAAAAAAGGCTTGGGTTTGGTTGTTCCTTGTTTATTACGCATAAAAACCACTCATTTACAGCATTATTGGGAACGTGCTTAGTTTAATCTTAGAACTAGTGAAAAATAGGAGGTGCTCAGGAGACGTTACTGTCATCACCTCACTACAAGACTGTGGCACAATGAAGACGTATGCATAGGTGTAAAAGTAAGGTCAGTGTTAGAAATACAAAAATAGAGTGAAATGGCAAATTTGTATCAATTTTCCTGTAAAACAAAGCCAGGTTGGAGTGCTGAGTCATGGTTAGAATACTAGAATTTCTTGTCTTTTCTTTTGTCTTTTCATGTGTGCCAATGTGTGAGAGTTGTATATGAGCCATGCACATATGCCACATCTCTACCAAACAATTTTATTTATTTTTAAAAAAGGTCCGCAGATAGATTTACATCCAGTTCATGAGTTTTATACAGTTATAGTTAATGAGAAACTTTATTGAACATGTGACCATTTTATGTTATTACTAAAAGCTCGAACTTCCAGGTCGTGTTACTGTCAGAATAATATCACTGTTAGTGAATCTTTACATTTAAACTCATTGTCATTAGTTTTACCTCCTACCATTCACCTTGAGAACATTTGTACACTTGTAGAAAAATAATCGATCTGACAGGTAAAAACACCTGGAGCATCTGAACATTTGCTGAAAGGTCAATGCAAAAACACAGCGTCCAATCACAGCACAGGCAGGTCCAATATGAAGTATGGAAACAAGTGTTTTTATTGGTGCATATACTTTAGCTTAGATTATTCACATTATTCAAGTGCATATCCCAAACCTGTATTTTTCATGTCATGTGGTCACCTGTTATGCTCTAGCTATGCACAAAGAAATGTCCCACCAAAAACCCAGAAAACAAGGCAATCTGCCTGCGTTTGAGTCACTTATTGAACAATAATAAATAAGTAAACACATACATGCCTCTTTGTGCATTGGAACACAACAATGTCATGTACAAGCAGATTCTTGTCTTCCAGGCAGCCAGCTGCTGCGATCAGATCTTCAAAGAATTTACACTCTTTAACCTGCAAATAGAAAACACACAAAAAATGAAGGCCCTAATTCATGTGAGTGGAATGAGATGGTCATAATAACATAACATATTCACCAACTGGGAAATCAGTTGTACCTTTTTAATTTTTCCAAATTTTTTAAATCTGAATCTGGGCCATCAACAAAGCAAGAGAAGAGTGTGCAGGGCTTACTCTGCCTGTCCTCCCTCATGGCTCGAAGTAGTGAAAGTGTGACACTGCGTCCATACGACATGCTTGACAAGAACTGATCATACAAAAGTGATATTGACAAATGATTGTTTAAAGTGCAGCACCTGATATCAACTTGAAATCAATATATACCAGTACTATCAAGTTTACCCTCAAACATTGGAGACAGGCACAAAGCTTCGATCAGAAGTCTGAGAAATGATCATCTACCTAAATCCACAGGCTCTTTGGGTACTCCCAAATCATCAGAAAAGCTGACAAATTGTGATCATATGTCACGCGTTCGATCTATTAATGATGATCCTGTAAAATATCTTTTGCTGGTACAGCACAACCTGTGTTCCCGTAGGATTAAAATAAATACATAAATAAAAAGATCAATCAGCATTCACACACCCTGGTTTTACAAGTCTGTTATTACCCAGAACATCGTACTACTCCTCACTGATTGAAGAACATAAGAACAACCCCAGGTTTCTCTGCAGCTCTGTAGCCAGGCTGACAAACAGTCAGAGCTCTGTTGAGCCAACCATCCCTTTAACGTTAACTAGTAATGACTTTAATAACTCCTTCACAAATAAAATTTTAACCATTAGAGAAAAAATAACAATTTCACAGATGTAACATTATGTAGAGCGACTTTCAATACCACTGATATTTATTTAGACTGTTTTTCTCCAATTGATAGTTAACTTTGGCAATTACTTCCTCCAAAGCATCAAGGTGGCCACAGATCTGATGAGACAATGCTGTTTGCACTGAAGTCCAGGAACAGAACACCGCTCTGGTTTAGATCTGCCAGGTCATTCACCTCATTGGCCCTCCAGGTCTTACTGTCGTTGCCATTATGAGCATTGAAGTCTCCCACTAAGACAACAGAGTCCCCATGTGGAGCGCTCTAAAGTACCATGAAGGATTCCAATGAGGTCGTGTACTCTGTCACAAACGCATAAGCACAGACAACAGTCAGGACCAGCTCACCGACTGCCGTCCGTTCAGCTTTGGTGAAGGTGAAAAGTGATCTTCTTACTGATGCTGATGGTGGAGTCATCTTATCTCTCTGACTCATTTTCACTGCTATGCAAATGATACCCAACATTATCCATCTTGAAGCCAGATAACACACACCAATTAATCGAACTGCAGGAATGTCTTAAAGTTGTAAAGGAATGGCCTTTTGGGAGGACCTCTAATTTTCTGCTTCTTAATTCAGATCAAACTGAGGTTATTGTACTCGGCCCTGAAAAGCCTTGAAATATGGTATCTAAGCAGATTCTTACTCTGGATGGCATTACCTTGGCCTCCAGTAACACTGTGAGGAACCTTGGAGTCATGTTTGACCAGGACATGTCCTTCAACGCACATATTAAACAAATATGTAAGACTGCTTTCTTCCATTTGTGCAACATCTCTAAAGTTAGAAATATCCTGTCTCAGAGTGATGATGAGAAATTAATTAATGTATATATTACTTTTCAGCTGGACTAAAACTCCCTGAAAAGCCTTCAGTTGCTGCAGCAAGAGTACTGACAGAGACTTTGTTTATATAGCTCCAAATCACAACAAAAGGTGACTCAATGCACTTTATACAGGTAATACATAGACATAATACAAAGAAAATGGTGAAAACCCCAACATGGGACACCCCCCCCCCACACACACACACACACACACACTTGAAAACCTCCCTGGAAGAACCAGGCTCAGGGAGGGACGTTCATCTGCCATGACCAGTGACCATCTGCCTGGGGACCATAAATAGAGCTATTCCAGTTCTCCAATTACTAATGAAAGGAGCACCAGTGCTTCCTTTATTGCCTCCTTTAGCGTCAGACTAGCATTTATGAAAGGAGAAATGAAAACAATCAACATAATAAACAAAATGGTGCCGATCATCCATCCTCTTCCACTTATCCTTATGAGAGTCACGGGGGGCTGGAGCCTACCAGCTAGCATAGGCTGAGAGATGAGGTACCCTGTGGACAGGTCATCAGTCTGAGCACAGCTGTCGTGGGTCAAGTAAATGTTAACTGTGACTGCTTTTTCCATTTTATGTGATAACTTACTGCTATACTGTTTTGGATTTCTATGACTGAGGTCAAATTTCCTTCCATTTATTACTTATCCTAACTGACCTGTACCGAAGTACAAATGAATCCTGAAGACTGCAATACAGCAAAGCTCAGCTGTAATGAAAACTGATTATACAAAACCAGTGTTACCAGTTCATAGACCACAATCTTTCAATTCAACAACCAGTTTTTACTCCAGTAGTGTGATGGTCAGGGTTCAGCTGTGCGTTTAACAGATCTTATAACGTATCAACAGGTTATGACGTTAAATAGAAAACGCAGTTACAATGAATATTTACATCATCTGCGCCATTTTGTTCATTATGACGAGTTGTGCGCCGCAATGAACTATGGGACTGCGTTTTCTCCTCCCCTTTCATCAAGGATAGCTCGCCGTATCCTATGATAAAAGAAGAAATAAAGGACGCTCATTTGTAGAGAACTGAAACAGCTGATGTGGATACTTTCGGCAGCGATTGGTCTTAAAGATCAAGCAAAACACAGTATTTACTTACTGCTCGTGGAAAACCGTTTGTAGCTTAAACAAGTGACTGTTGTAGCCGAACTGCATGTGGTGACATGATCACCAGTGTTTTTAATCACATGCATTTCCTCAGCGCGGAGTGATGACACAGCCATGACTCGTGACACACTCATGAACTCAGGAGGAATAAAGGAAGTCTTCTTTCTGTCATTGTTTATTAACTTCTAATATAGAACTTGTATTTTATTTACAATAATAGCACTGCTGCGTTTGTCTGCTAGAAACAATCAAATAAATAAAACAGCAGAAAGAAACATACAGTCGAGTTTATTGTCAAGTTTGATACAATAAATCGGTATGTGACCGGAAGAGAGAATCATAACGTTATAAATAAACTTATATAGATTGTTTTATTCTTTGCTTTCATTGTACATAACAGAATAATCCGATAATATCGACAACAATGGCAAACCAAAACAAGGCGTGTAGCACTGCGCGTTGGTGCAGAGTGCGAAGCTGCTGGAGTGCAGCATTCATGACGGTCACTGTCCACTGACTCCATAAAATATTATAAGTTCTTCGTAAATAAACAAATAGTTCAACATCCAGGTTTATGGTTTATACTGAAGTGTTTTCCCGGAAGTTGTGTATCATTTGTAGTTTGACACGGTGCACAGGTTGACTCCTCTTTGCCACGTTTCACTAAATGATGTAATCCCTCCTACGGAGCTTGACAGTTCGCTGTTGCGGTAACGACACATACTCAGCTGGAGGGAGAGAAAAGGCCGGTTAGCCAGACGTCTGCCCATATCACCTGTTTGTTCACCTCAGCGTTACCGCTGTAAAGCGAAATATAGGTCTGTTTTATTCGTGAAAGCGGGTTTCGTAATTTGTGTTACCCCTGACTCGGCTGACACAGTTGGCTAATGTTAGCTGCTTCCTGGTGGACGTTGCAGCCATTTTGGATTTTTACTGAGGAACAGCTAACCGGCTTTGGTTTGGAAACCAGAGTAAGCTAGTCGTAACGAACGCTGTTTATCTGTAGAGAAATAAAGGGGACATTCACTTGAAGAGATACACTATTCAACGAGTCAACAATGAATCCAGAATAGTAAGTATCATACTTACACGTAAACATAAAGTTGTGTTACATTTTGGTCAGCTAGCTAAGACTAGCTCTGCGCTAACAAGTAAGTTGGCAAATAACTTGATGTTGAGTTGTAACCTAGCAGTTGAGCTAGGTTAGCTAGGAACATCAGCTGACCCTAGCCAGGCCGATACTGTACTCTTAACACTATGTTCACGTGAAGCAGTGGTGTCTTATAGGTTGTCACAGTGCTAGCCAGCTGTTAGGCCAGCACCCTAGAGACTCTGGTGTTGGTTCCCGGTGTTTCAGATGCAGGAAGGGAAAAAGTAACCGCTTTTGTTACGCTTAACAGCTTCTTTAAGCTGGTTAAAATTATATTATTGAGCCATCACCCGTATTTTTGCTAAATTCATCTACTTGTCATTACGGGTCCCTAAATAATTTACCTTAGCTTACATGACCTGTTGCTGATCTGGTTATTGTATACAGCAGGTGCTGTGGCAGAATGGAGCCACTGTTTACGTGCAAATTGTTGGTTTTGGTCTTTGCTGTCTATGAGTCAGTTTTCAGTCTTGTAGCCTGGTTGTGCTTTAACGCTCCTTTCACAGTCCCAGTCATGTGTTGGTCACATGATGCAGGACAGACTTCCACGCTGCAGTTTTGAGTATTAGTTCCTTAAGCTTTGGATCAGTCTTATGTTTTTCATTTGTAAATGTTCACATGGGCTGATTGTTGATATTTTCCTCTTTCTAATAAGCTGTTACACAGAGCTCCTGTTAAATATTTTAAAAGTATAGTTTTCAAAGTGACAGTTAAGTAATAACTGTGTACACCACCTTAATCTTGTGATTCACTTTCTTGGTATAGGCTAGATATTTGGGTCAACTCATCAGTTTAAAAATGAAAAGAATCGAGGAAACTTGGAGTTCTATGCATGAATACAGACTTTCTGGTTAAAATGTCAAGCAAGTACTTTAGGAAGGTCTCAATTCCACAGTTTGACTCTTTTAAGCAAGGAGACTGATTGTAATGGGAGTTAATAGTTTGAAACCCAAAGTTTTTCATATTCTTTTTTCTGGTCAGTTTGCTGCCAGAGTTGTGTTGAGCAGTGCAGTTAGTCTTTCACAGGAACCACCATTGTTCATAGTCACAGGCTTACCGAAGAGGGAATGATTGGAATTTATTACAGTGAGAAAGTAAAGAACTGAGATAGTCCTCAAAAGCAGGATAACACTGACTGAGATACTGAGAGAATAAAGTTCTGCATTTATGCTTTGCTGTTCATGAAAAATGAAAAGACTGACTGTGGCTATTATTGATTTTATTCACTGGTAAATTATTAATTGTTAATAACTTTGCTAAATTTTATGTTCCACTGAATGTAAGTGTTTTATCAATAATCCACAGATTAAAAATAATATAAAGTACATTTATTGTGTGACAAAAGGAATGCCTGACTTGATATTATCAATATCATATATATAGATACATAAGACATCCTTTTTGAATGTCTTTTTCCAGTGGCTTCCTGCCCTCTCCTCCAGTCACTCTTGACAGATGGCCCCGCCCCTCCCTGATCCTGCCGGAGGTTTCTTCCTGTTAAAAGGACGATTTTCCTTCCCGCTGTCATCAAGTGCTTACTCGTAGGGGGTTGTCTGGTTGTGATGGTTTCTTCTGTGTTATTGAGACTCTTTACCTTGCTAATATAAAACACTTTGTTGTGATTTGGTGCTGTATAAATTGAATTGAACTGGAAGGGTACTGGAGAGTCTCTGTTAAAATGGATGAAGACTGAAGCCTCCTGTTTAAAGTTTGCTTTCAAACCTGCCTTTGTTGCATTTTTAAGATGATTCATTTGGTTGATAGGGGTTGAATTCTCTACCCATAGTATGTAGTTTGTCATGTGCCTCAGCAGGGTTTTTGGCGAATGAAAATGGAGAGTCTGTTACCCACTCTCCACAGTTAACTTCACACAGGGTGGTCCGATGACTGGCTGCGCCAAGACACTAAGCCCAAGTTGCTTTTCAATGCATCTGTCCAAGTGTGAATGTGTGTGAAAGCACTTGCATAGAAAAAGTGCTTCTGTGAATGAGGAACGTTGTATAGAGCACTCTGAGAGCCCAGGTAAAGTAGAAAGAGCTGTCTAACAACCAGTGCATTTGTTGATCCTGAGAGTTGGTTTCATGTGTTAAGTCACACTGTTACATGTACTTCTTCCACTACCTACTCAACGCTACACTACTTGGCTTCACTCATTTACCATTAAAAATAAACACCGTCTCAGTGTGTGTGGGGTTGTTAAAGCAAGGCAGCCCCATGACATAATTTGTATGTGGCAATAACACAACACAGTAGAGGATGTTGACGCAATGATATACCTGATGCTTGGTGTATGGCTTTTTGTGCCACCATGTCTCTCATTGCCGGGTTTCAGAAATGGTGGTGTAAACACGCATGACGGACCCAGTGGCGTTTTGACCATCTTTATTAACCCACGGTTACGGTTGCTAAACACACACAGCTCTCCCGCTGCCAGCTCAACATAACAACAACGTAACAACAACGTAACAACAACGTTACCTCAAGACTCCAAACTTTTAAGCTGGCAAGGCGTGATTGCAGATGGCGTGCAGGTGCATCCATCGCACATCGGGGTGTGTGGCAAGGCATCACAAACACGCCTCGCGCTGGTGCTGAGGTGGGTCCGGGGGTCGCCCACGTATCCAGCAGCAGCCCCGGAGCTGGACCGGGGGCCCCCCATGTGGCAAGCAGTGGTGCAGCAGGCGTGGCAGTGAGCCGGGGCTCACGTGCAGCTGGGCAGGCTTCAAGCAGGCCGCACCACACCAGCGTGCTTGACACCGGTCTACCCTGCCCGCCGACCTCGGGCTTAGGTTGCGCAGGCACGGGCACCTCCATCTCCTCACGCGGCGCCTCCACCGCTGTGTCTCCGAGTTGGATCAGCTCCCCGCACGGTGCCTACGCCGCTCCCGCCTGGAGCGGCTCCCCACATGGTGCCTCTGGCGCTCTGCACTCTGGCTCAGGTTGAGTTGGTCTCCTCGGCCTTCTTCCGGGCGCAGGAACGGGCACCAGCCCCTGCTGAACCCCAATGGCTCCCACGCAAGGGGTGGGAACGGGCGCTGCAGCAGGCTGGTCACACCCTTGGGGCTGGCACAGGCGCCGGATCCAACCGGATCTCCTCCACTCCGGCGCTGTGGAGCACACTGGTGGGGTTAGCGGTGGTGCCAGCGAGGCCCCTATCTTCCGCAAATGGAGCTCAGTCTGGACCCGTAGTTATTAGGGGTGGGGGAAAAATCGATACTGTGTAGTATCGTGATATTTTGTTTGCTAATAATGTATCGATACAGGGACAGCAGAAATCGATATTTTGTTACAAAAAAGGTTTTGGTGCTCTGACTTCAGAGCATGTTGATCCTTTTTCTGAGCAACAATCCTGACATTCCTTCACTGTCCAAATGTGTTTAACTTTTTTTTTGGCAGCAATAAACATGAGTTTACTTATTTTAATTTAAGACATGTTTTATTTTAATTAAGTTTAAAACTTTTTTATTTAATGTAAAATTATATTTTGTTTTAATCTACTTTCAAATTCTTCAGTTGCTGAAGGGGCTGCATAGTTTTCATAAATTGCATAGTTCAGAATAGCTATAATTGTGCCAGATGGTTGCATTCAGTTAAGTTGGACTAGACTGTAATACAAACCGTTCAGTTTGTCAACAATAAGACTGAGTGCGAGACTTTGTTATCAGATAAAATGAATATTGATAAAGTTTACCTTTATGTACAGAATCTGAATATCGCAAAATATTTTAAAAAATTGCAATAATATTGTATCGTGGCATGTTTGGTGATTCCCACCTCTAGTAGTTATTCCAGCTCCCCGCCTTGCCGGCCCAGCTGTGGGTCTGCTGTGCCCCCCATCCTGGGTTTCAGCATCACTGTAACCATGCACGATAGACCCAGTGGCATTTTGATCATCTTTATTAACCCACAGTTATGGTTGCTAAACACATGCAGCTGTAGCTCTCCCGCTGCCAGCTCAAAATAACAACAACCTTAACTCAAAACTCCAAACTTTTAAGCCGGCTGAGGCATGAATGCAGATGCCACGCAAGTGCGTCCATTGCACCTGCAGCAGCATTGCAAACCACGCCCCGCCACACGTGGTTTCATTGAATGACACCAGTGATCGGCCAGTCTGTCGGCATCACATTTTCAAGTTGACTTGGTTCCCTTTGAACCCCAGTCGAGTAGAAACTAAAACCTAGTACCTAACAGAAAACCCTAAAATCAAGTCGAGCTGAGTTGGTACTAATGGAGAAGAGGCGTTAGCACGCTAACTTCTGTAAATCTGGGAGAGTTCAGCAGGGATGCTTGTCATGTTTGTTTGTTTCCCTTTGCTCATAAAATGTAACCTTTCATCTAAGAAGATGTTTAGATGGAACTAAGACTGAGTATTGGTCAGAGCAACCTTATGAATAAGAAGCATGATATCCTGAATGGTTCTTGTGTGTTTCCTTACTATGGCAGCATGAATAATATCTTCAAACTAGAGGTTTTATTTGTGCCCTTCCCTTACAGTGACTATTTATTCAAGCTACTCCTGATTGGTGACTCTGGTGTTGGAAAGTCCTGCCTTCTTCTTCGATTCGCAGTAAGTTTTGCCCCAAAAGCAAATAAAGGGTGTTTCTTTAAGTCCATTTGACTTAAACTGTCTCAGTGTCACAGTATTGGTTTCATGCAGTCCTTTGGAAATGTTTTCACTTGGATAATCTTAAATCATTCTGCACAATAGTAGTTTTATTAACTTATTGCAGTTTCTTCAAAGTATTTATTTAAAAATAAAAACAACTGTCTTGTTTGTAACATTCATTGTAACGTGCTCCATTTTTTGGGTAGAGCAATCATTACTCAAGGTTAAGATTTTTGGCTTCCAGCGTTTCTAAAAATGAGAAAAGGAAATGAAAAAGTGAATGTGATGAATTCATTTTGATCATAACTCTGGTTTTAGTTGATAAATTTAGCAACCTTTTCTTATGGGGAGACATTTACCTTAGAAGTGTTACAAACACACACTAAATGAGCCACAAACATAAACTAAGATTACACATGTGTACACTGATTTGTGTGTAACCTTTGAGGACTCACAAATGAGTGTTCCAATTTGTACACAAACACAGAGCGTTGTGACCACATATAAAAAGTTTTTACAAATGCGTACATCCAACCTGTTTATGCACAATTAAGTAACTTCAGATTCAGAAATCAGAAATCCCTCCACGCATGCAAATGTCAAAGACCACATGTAGCATTTCTCTCACTACAAAACCTTCGGTCTGTGTGCAGCAATCGCCTGATACGCACAGATCGCATCACATGCCTGTGTAAGGTTTTGAGATAAATTTCACACTGCCAACTTTGCACAGATCCTCAAATGTAGGCTGTGTTTATGTCCCAGTCTAAAACTGGGACACCAGAGCTTCCTCTGTCCTACTACAAAAGTCTTGTTTGTTGATTGTGATCCTAATATTGTCTCAAGTAACAAGTGATGATTTTTGCCATAATTGAGCAGCCCTGCCTTGGCTACTATGTCCTAGAGTTAGATGGGTGTGTATATATGTGTGTATCCTGAAGCACAAAGTGAGCAAGATGTATGGATCATCTAATTACCTTTGTTTCTTTTTGCAGGATGACACATACACAGAAAGTTACATAAGCACTATTGGTGTGGATTTCAAAATACGAACTATAGAATTAGATGGAAAGACCATTAAACTTCAGATTGTAAGTACTCTCCTGCTACACGAAGCTGTCTTATGTTCATGTCCGTCGGTCACCATCTTTCAGTTCATGTTCATGTCTGTGTTTGGAAATTTGTGCACCCAGAAACATGAAGAGATTAGTCTGCCATAACTGTGTTGATTTCCTATTATTTTCTTATCGTATGAAAGACGGTGCATTCATTAGTCTAACTTACTGGTACGTCTTGTTTCCAAGCTGCTGCCCAGTACTCTTTTTTTTTTTTTTAGATTACTGACAACAACAGTGGAAAATCTATATTAGGCTTTAGAACAAACACACTATTTTAAATTTCATTTTGTGCATGGATACTCACAAGCACATGGCAACTTCAATTACAAACCACATGACGAGTGGATGACCTAACAACTCAGGATGCTTGTATTCTTGTATTTTTGTTGCTATTAGAAATTGTTGTCCAGTGAATTTTTCAGTGTAGAGATAATTGTATTGTTATATTGTGTGTTCTCTTTGTCTGTGTTCATGCAAAGTCAGCTATCAACCGGATAATCTTTATCCTTTCACAGTGGGATACAGCGGGACAGGAAAGGTTTCGTACAATCACGTCCAGCTACTACAGAGGTGCTCATGGTATCATCGTTGTGTATGATGTTACAGATCAGGTCAGTCAAACGACACATAATTCACACACGTAATACATCCATGTTTTTCAGCAGCACTGATAATTTGTGTAGAATAAACTATGACATTTAATCATCTACTGTCTAAATGACAAAACACAATCTGACTGGCTGTTTCTGGGTTCCTGAGGTCCAAAGAAATAAGCCAACCACCGTGTTTGCATTTCATGAGCTGAGAGTCATTAAAGATGGCGTTGATCAGAGTATACAGTGTAGCCATGCTGTCCTCAGAGAAATGAGAAAGCATTCCTCTTTGATACACATTTGATGACTGGCTAAGTTGAAATCGTGTCGCCTGTGAATAGATCTCTATCTTCTGTCTAATGTCCAAAGTTCAAACCTCACTGCTCAGGTTTATCGGTTTCTTGTCCCAGGAGTCCTTCAATAATGTCAAACAATGGCTCCAGGAGATTGACCGCTACGCCAGTGAAAATGTCAACAAGCTACTGGTCGGGAACAAGTGTGACCTGACGACAAAGAAAGTGGTGGACTACACAACAGCAAAGGTAAAGTTTCCTCACATAGCTTCCCAAAACCATCTTGAGGTTAGTGTAACAAGCAGGACATTCGTTGAATGAGTTCTTATTTAAGATGGATTACCATTAAGGTAAGGCTCTAATGAGAAATGCACTTCAGAGAGCCCTTGAACTGTCTCCATGAACCTTAGCCAAGTGGTTTGGGTGCTTTCAGCTGCATAAACAAAATCCCAAATGAATAAGTGACTTATAAGGGTTTCACTGAAACCGGGTTAAAGCCCTGGGGTCATAGTTTACATTAATGGTGCACATAGATAACAGGCGAACCTTCTTACCTTCAGACACATGATCAGTCATTGCATAAAGTGGGCTTGACACCTGACAGGCAGAGCAGATGTGTGTATGTATGTGATATGCATATATGTATATATGACACACACTACTTTCTTAGGTGAGTGACTCTGTCCCTCTGTTGTATCCAGGAATTTGCAGACTCTTTGGGAATCCCCTTTTTGGAAACCAGCGCAAAGAATGCCACAAATGTGGAGCAGGCCTTCATGACCATGGCTGCTGAAATCAAGAAGAGGATGGGCCCTGGGGCCACAGCCGGAGGAGGGGAGAAGCCCAACGTCAAGCTGACTCCAGGCACTACTGTCAAGACTTCATCAGGTGGATGCTGCTGAGAAAGGAACCACTTTGTTTAACCCCCTCCCCAAGAGAAAAAAAATTGGTATGTGAGAACAAGATGAAGTTGCCTGTATTTGTACTGTATATAATGTAGCCACACTACCAAAAAAACAAAAAGTGCATCATTGTTGTCATACTGTCTAGTTATTGACAACAAATTCTAAAGATCCCCATCATTCCCCCTTTCAGAGCTGTGAGACTCCTCTCTCTTATTTGGTCACCTGAATACAAGCTCATGACAGCAGTGTGGGTGGACGTGTCTTTTTCTCTGCATTCCTACAGCAAAGTTGATACATGATTAAGGTTTCTGTTTGTACCGACCTTTTCTTTCTCTCTTCCTTCAGTGATGATTTTGCAGTCTTTTACATAATCTGTCTGTTGCGATACAAGCGTGTTTCTTGTTTTGTTTTTTGTCCAAGTTTTCTCACAAACCTTTGCACAACAGTGTCTCAACTGTTAAGCAGCTTTAGTCTAGTGTAACAGTATATGTACATAAACATTATGTATATATCTGTAAAATCAGATTTGGTTCTGTTTTGTTCCAACCATTATTGAAACAGTTTCACTTTCTCTGCATTACATTTGTGGCTGAAGACAACTGTAAGTTGGTTGCTCAAAATGTAACACTTAAATTGAAAATAAATATTGTATTACTGGACTGTATGAAATGGGAGGATGTGTCTGGGAGTTTTAGTAAGATGTCAAAACAAACAAACAAAAACGTGCCTACTTATTTAAGGTTTTTGGCATATCTGCTGCCCGATACACAGGGTCTGCAAATTTCTGGGTGTAACCACAACACTGAATACTGAGTTGCATATATAAAGTACAATGTTCCTTTCATAATAAAGGCGACTGGATTCAGTTTGAAGCAAACTCTGGATAAGAAGAAGTCACAACACGATGGTCATTGTGTGTGTCGCTGGATGCACATAAAGCTTAAGAAAGTCCACTTGCTGTACGGAAATGACCTGTAGCCTGAACCCATGGAGCATCGGTTAACGTCGGGTGAGCCAAAGCATTTGTGCCCTAAAACATGTCATTTTAAATACTCAGCAAAGAAAAGAACACTGAGGCCTTTCTGATCTGCAAACGGGAGGGGAAATCCAAGATCATATACACTGAGTCAAAGCTTTGGACACACTTTCTCAATGAATGTTTTTTCTTTATTTTCATGACTCTTTACATTGTATGTTCTCATTGACGGCGTGAAGACTATGAATGAACACAGAAATAACTCAAAACATGTTTTATATTTTAGATTCGTTAAAATATTTGCCCTTTGCTTTGATTACTCCTTTGTGCACTCTTGGCATTCTCTCAATGAGCTTCACGAGGTCGTCACCTGAAATGGTTTTCCAACAGGAAGGAGTTCCCTGACATGCTGAGCACTTGTTTGGTCCTTTTGCCTTCACTCTACGGTCCATCTCACCCCAAACTTGGGTCAGGCAACTGGAGGCCAGACTCATCGGACCAAAGCACAGATGTCCACTGGTCTAATGTCCGTTGCTTGTGTTTCTTGGCCCAAACAAATCTCTTCTGCTTGTTGCTTCTCCTTAGTCGGGGTTTCTCTGCAGCTATTTGACCATAAAGGCCTGATACACACCGTCTCTGAACAGTTGATGGTGAGATGTGTCTGCTACTGGAGCTCTGTGTGGCATCTATCTGGGCTCTAACCTGAGGAGCTGTTAACTTGTGATTTCTGAGGCTGCTGACTCGGATTAATGTATCCTCAGCAGCAGAGGGGACTCTGGGACGGTCCTCGTGTGAGCCTGTTTTGTTGTAGTGTTTGATGGTATTGTGACTGCACTGCACACAGTCAGTTTTAGCCATTTTTAGGACTGACTGACCTTCAGTTCTTAAAGTCATGATGGGCTGTTGTTTCTCTTTATTAGCTGATTGGATCTGTCAACTATTTACCAACCTGCCCTGCACAACACAACTGATGGTCCCAACAGCATTAAGAAGGCAAGAAACTCCACAAATGAACCCTGACAGGCTCACCTGTGAGGTGACCATGTCAGGTGACGACATCATGACGCTCACTGAGAGAAGGCCGAGGGTTTGCAGCCCTGTCAACAAAGCAAGTGTGGCTGCTTTGAGGAATCTAAAATATGAAACATTTCTATCCATTTATTTAGTTATTTACCAATATTTTTTCTTTGATCCATAATTGCATGCATCTTGCTTCATATAGCTGATCTCATCAGTATGTATCTGCAACTTTTGACTGGTAGTTTACATGGAGAGGGAAATAGCTGGATTTCAAAAGCACAATGGGAATGAACAAAATAAAATGCAGATGAAAGAATAAGATAAATGGAAGACAAATGAACAAAAGTAAGAAAATGAGAAAAGAATAATTATAGTAGTAGGAGATAAAAACAACTAAAAATGGTTCCCTAAATTCTCAGAATTGAATGTGCTGATTTCTGTAAAGGTTTAGTTGATGTCTAAATCCTGCAGCAGTGCAGAGTAAAGCCTCTAGTCACAAACTGTCAGACCTTCAAGGACAGAAGTTCATTTATCAACTGCTTACTTACACAGGAGCAGTGTAACCAGGTATGTAATGGCTATGAAGCGCCTTGAGGCGACTTATGTTGTGATTTGGCACTATATAAATAAAATTGAATTGAATTGAATTAAACATGTTTTAATTAAAACGCTTATATTTGCAGCCACCACTGATTAGTGAGGTGAATAATGTTTGGGATTTAGTTGCAGTGTTCATCCAGGAACTGTTGTCTGCTGCGATTTTGTGTGAATGTTAAACATACTGTCCACTTCAGTATGGCTCCACAACAACACAGCCTGGGGTAGCTGAATATTTTCTTGTGACTGCTGTTTTACATCGAACTCATCAATAATGAGTATATATTACATGGTTGTGTCACTTGTCTCAAGTCTGCAGCATGAATTAGTCAGAGACATAACTTTCATGCTAATAACCATTAATATAAAGATCATACAAGGTCATACAAACAGTTGAGAGTTGTTCAATATTGTAACTATTTGCATTGCAGTGAGTATAAATCATATCAGGATATAAATGAACCGGCTGCTAATGTATGACACACACCAACTAAAGGCGGGCCAATCCTGATTCTTGAAGTCACTTGTTTCATACAACTATTCCATTTTTAAATTCAATTTTATTTATATAGTGACAAGTCACAGTTACCTCAATGTGGTTTATATTGTAAGGTTCCTAACCTTACAATCAGACAACCCCGTGAGCAAGTGCTTTTCCTAGGGAAGTGGAAAAAATCCCTTTTAAAAGGAAGAAACCTCCAGCAGAACCAGGCGTAGGGAGACCTGGTTCTGGATGTCAGGCAATCATAGCGGCTTCAACAGGTTGTGGAGGATATTTTTGCAAACCATTCCATTTGCAAAAGAATAGCTAAAACACCATGAAGATACTTCACTACACATAACACAATGTATGATGGACAGGTTGTATCCAAAATAAATAGTCAGTGTTGGGAAGGTTACTTTTAAAATGTATTCCATTACAGATTACAGAATACATGCCCCAAAATGTATTCTGTAACGTATTCCGTTACGTTACTCAATGACAGTAACGTATTCTGAATACTTTGGATTACTTAATATATTATCATGCTTTTTACAACAACGTGAATGTACTATTGCTGTGTGATTTATTACTATTACTGAAGGTCCGCGACTCCGAACTGTAGTAAAGGGACCTCTGACTAATACGGCGGGGTCCCTGTCGGCTGGTAGCCAAAAAATAGCTTTACTTTGTTGTGTGGGTCAACTTTTCTTGCGACAGACAGAGAGAGGCGTTGAAAGGCTGCTCCAACGGAACTTATTGTTTTCAGAGGAAAACACGAACACAGTGTACAGTCGAGTCTTAATAGCTTACTTACAACTGGGCTCGTCAGGCACTCTTCTTGGCTGCAGTGGTTATTATGACTGCTCGTACCTTTCCACTCCCCTTTTTCTCCCTCCTAGCGCTCACAGACACATAACGTGTATGGCAGTCCATTCTCCCAGCAGCACGGACTACACTACCCATGATGCTACATTCTTTAGAGCTATGCTTGTAGCATTCTGCCTGTTAGCTTAGCACAACAACAACAACGAAAAGGCGCTCTATCACCCAGGAAACACACAGTCGCAGAGAGAGAGAGCGTCGCCCTGTAACCATGGCAACCGTAACCCTGCCGCCTGGAACAACAGAACGTAGCTGTCAAACAAACCCAAACAGTCCTGACCCGCGACAAAATGAAACAGGAAAGTACCCCAGTGTAATCCATTTATTTCAACAAAGTAACTGTATTATGAATACCACCTTTTTAAACGGTAACTGTAACGGAATACAGTTACTCATATTTTGTATTCTAAATAAGTAAAGGCGGTACATGTATTCCGTTACTCCCCAACACTGTAAATAGTTATTCTGCAGAAAATGTTTCCCAACATTACTGCTGAAGGCTTCTATTTAATCCTGAGTCTGAGGGATTAAAAGTATTAATAAAAAACAGCTGTTGCCAGCAAACAAGCGACCGTTTAGTTCCACGTTTAGGTTTTTTTTTTTGTCATTTGCTCACTGAACTACAATGCCTTACATTCGCGGGAAAAATCACATCCGTTATAACACATCTTTCCACTCAGAGGGGTCACCATCCTCTTAAAATAGTTTTGTCTATACATACGATATTCTATAATGTATCAAACAGACAACCTGTTAATTATTTGTTAATTAATTAATTAATTCTACTTTTTGTTGCTACGTTTCAATTAATTTCAACCCAAATGTTATTGTCTTTTACCCTAAATCACACACCACCCCGTTTCACAAGTGGTTTCCTCCGAAATGGCGCGAAATTGGAAAGCCCCGCCCATTATCAAAATCTTAGCTTCAGGACTGTAGAGACAAATGGCGGAAACTACATGAATTTGCCTTCAAAATAAAATACAATCGTAACCTCAACGTAGCTTTTTCACGGACGCACTTTTTGTTTGAAGGGCTGTTGTCGGAAGCACGTTTCACATTTCTCTCTGCTTAACAACAACGCGTCATTCGGGCTGCAGAGTACTAACCTCTTTTCGTTGGATGTTTTTTCACGTTTTAGAGAAAGGAACATTTTCGGACATACTACTCCGACATTGCACAGCTATCATAAATACAAGCAGTCTGCTGGGTAGAGTGAGTTGTATGACTGTTTGGATAACTTGCTTGTATAATTGACGAGGCTCCGCTGTTTTGAGCAGAAACGAAACGCTTTGAAAAGCTTCATAGACAGCTGGAACAACCCGCATTAGTTGGACTGTCTGCTTCGCTGCCAACAACAATGAGCTGGTAAGTGTAATGATCGCTTCGCTCACCGCAGCAACCATGTTTCACAGAAACTTGTATTTACGGTGCAGGAAGCCGCTGCAGTATTGCCCTGAACGATATCCGTCGCTAGGTGTCGCCACTCGGCGTTTTTCAGGAGAATACGAGACCGGAAGACAAGACTTTGTCCAGTGTTTTTTTTCTCACAAACACTAAAGTTTTCACCTGCGCCACCATGTGCTTCTGTATAAGTGTATGTTTCCGAGCTCCTGTGGTACACTCGTGACTTAAATCCAGCTGCGGCGCAACGCGCCAGTAACAAAACTGGAGGGGTGCGCGACACGTGTGACGCGTGGAGCACAAGTGCCCTG